GAAAATAACAAACTTTTCTTATCTTATTTTTCAATGGTGAAGTTTTTCTGAAAAGAAATTTGAAATACTTTAGTAAACTGCTAGGCTATTGTATTTGCTGACTATTGATATATGATCTTCTGCTGGCTATGCAGTCTCAGGATAAGGATTAATGAGATATTTCTAACTGAAATTCCTTTAAACAATTTGTTTCAGATTGAAAAAATTCACAAATACTTTCACAAAACAAGAAAATTCACAAAACAAAAAAATTCACAAAACTAAAATTATGTAGAACAATCACATCTGTGAATGTCTGGTTACAGAAATTTAAAATGGCCAACGAAAAGTAGTGTGAAAGTAGGAAAGACAGTAATCTAGAAACTAAATTAAGCGACTCTTGTTAATTTTGAAGTACCAAAAACATTTTCCATTATAAAATCATCAAAATAAAATTTATAAAAATAAACGACATTCTCTTGACACTCTTACTTGATTCAGAGAAGCGCATGTCAGCCTCTTAAAATCTTGAAGCTGCTCCATAGTTATATAGGCCAATTTAAATATTTGGTACAAGAATTTCAGGTTAGCGCAAACGATGGTATCACTTTCTCCAAAAAAACCAGTAAATGTAAATTAGAAAATAAAAGTTTACCTCCAAAAAATATTCTATGCTGACCCACTCTGCACATAATCAGACCGGACCCACAAAAACGAGCAGTCTCCAGTTGCCTTGCTCCAAGATCAACAACTTCCAACACTCCTCTCCTCTTTCCTTCAGTTTCAGTGGAAGGTCTGCAAATTTAACGTTTTGTTCAAAACCACAGTCGTTCGAATATGGCTTGCATAATCACCAGTTCCATATTTTCCTTCATATGCGCAAATAATAGCTTCTAGTTCACTATGCTAGCTGATTTTTTTAGAAGTACTTTTAAAAAAAACCACTTACTTTTTTTTTTATTACACTTTTCAACTCTTTAGACTGTAAAGACACCTAATCGTTTTGTTACTCTCGGCAGCTTTTAAAATTGAGCTAGACCAAATGTACGTTACCAAAGAAACGAACTTCTCCACAACCAACTATAACTCTTAAACGGCGTTATAGAGGTATGCCTCAGCGACAACAGAAAGCTAAAGCTGTGTTGACGACGGTTAAGACCGGCTGAAAACTGCTTCAAATTTCAAAATGCGCACCCATAAACCAAAAAAGTCAAAAAATTTAGAAATGTTTGTTTCTACAAGTTTTCTTCAGCGTACCGTGGCTGAAAACGAAACAGTTT